ATTTGTCCGGTTTGCTTTGTCGCCTTCACAGAGAAACTGAGACCCGGTACACCTGCAAGTTTAATTTAACTCGATTCAAAACTGAGCGTGATAAAACGTAGATAACTGTGAAATAGTTTCCGCGAACCGTTTTGTCCGTGTTGTCTGCACTCGCGAAGCATTACATACCTCAAGTTAATTGAGATTTTCTATTTTTTGTTTTTGGAAGGGGGAAACGAAACTAAAAAAAGTTTATAAATGAGAGAGAGAGAGAAAAATAGATTGGTTGAGTTTAACTAACGTTTATATACAAGCTGACTTTTGTGCAAACAAAGCACGAAATGAGGAACAAAAAGTTGATTGGAGGAAAAAGAGATGCGAGTGCCCTTAAGGGGACTCTCTCTTTCTCTCTCTCTCTCTCTCTCTACATGTACTTCGGCTTTAACTTCACCGCCGTGAGTTTGGCTTCTAGACTAGAAGTACAGCCAAGGGTGAAACTGAGTTTTTACTCTAAAATAAAAACAAACAAAGTTTAGAATACCACTTTTAAAATGACCACGATTTTCTAAAAACCAGTTTCTTTCTCGTTTCTTCTGACAAAGAATTTTCTACCTGCGCAACGCGCAGCAGGTAGCTCGGAAGAGATAATACCACGTAATTTGCAAGTACATGTCATCGTACCAACTTTACGCATGCTCTTGTTGCACTGCTGACTTAGGTAAACCAAGAATATTCGCGTTGCAGCCGATCATTAATAGCCGCAGTATTGTCTGACGCAAAATCACGCGTGTAACGAACGTGCGAATGTAGGTCGTGCATTTATTACGCGCAATTTTCCATTGATATTTCGGAGAAAATCAATATCGGGTCAAGTGTGTGCGTGTGTCTGTGTATGTGTATGTGTATTATCGCGTATCAAAGTAATTATGATAAATTACATCGCGCACAACTACTTTTGACAATGCACATTTCAACATTTACGATATTTAATGAAATAATTGGAGGGTGCGACAGAACTGATACTTCTCTTTTGTATTTCTTTTTACATATTGTTGTTAGATTTTGCAAAACAATTCAAAATGTTGAAGAGAAGCATTGTTGAAACGATGTAAATGATTAAAATGTATCATTCAAAATAATTTAATATATTCTACAGTTGTAATTTTATGTGATTTTATAATAGCGATATACAAATTATACAAAGAGCGAAACATAATCTCAGCGAAAGAAAAACAAATATATATCTGTTTAGATATGCAGGACTTTGATTTCAATTTTACTGAATATTTATCTCTCTTTTCTCTCTGGAATAATTGTCTTATCTCGCGGAGCAGTAATGCTCATGCGATTGAAGTTGAAAGTGACTTCTCAAGGACCGAGTACCGGTGATTACTTGTCGTAAAATTTATCGACACGGACAGACGGAAAATCAATATCCTCCTTCTTAGACTTTGGAGCGGTATCCCGCGACGTATCTCGCGAATAAAAATTTCTCGCTTGTTTCTCACCAAATTTTACGTCCGTTCGTGTAATCTTCGATTCGTAATTTATATTATTTCGACGATATAGTTTTAGCAAATAGTAAAGTCGCAACACACAAAAATTGATATTTTCTTTACTCACATTCGTGTTTTACGATTTCAAAAATAGATATATATACAGGGTGTCTCATAATTGCCGTCTCACCGCTCGTAGGCAAAAAGAAGAAGTTATTTTAAGACGAAAAGTCCTATACCACTTTGGAAGATTCGCAATAATTAACGAGATATGAATTAATAAAGATCTGCTAATCAGCGTGCATCCAGCACGTAAGGGGAGCGTAAAGGACAGCCGAACGCAGCTTATATGCTGTTTATGTGTAGGTGCACATGTTATTCTATTAGCTCTTCCCATTCCACCGCAACGGCGCGTCCGCGCGAAAGACTAGGCTGTCCTTACGCTCCCCATACGCTGAATGCACTCTGATTAGCGAATCTTTATTAATTCATATCTCGTTAATTATTGCGAATTTTCCAAAGTGATATAGAACTTTTCGTCTCAGAATAATCCCTTCTACCTGCCTACGAGCGGTGAGACGGCAATTACGGGACGCTCTGTATATATGTATATATGTATAAAGTGTCAACGCACACACAGCAGTGGATATAACTTACGATTACCTCATTTTTCTGGAACAAGTCGCATTATACACTTTGGCACGCGCCAGAAGTAACACAGAAGTTACGAAGTAGATACATGAAATGTTACTTCGGAACATTCCCCGTTTTCACCCACGTACATTTTTTCTTCCTTGTTGAACTCTTTCGTCGTAGATCATTAGACTAGTGTTTTGTCTCAGCTCGATGCAAAAAAAAAATCAACATACTATATGTATCTATTTACACAGATATAAACAAATAAGATTTTAAAAAATCCAAATGTCCAAGCATTACGATTTGTGAGCAGTATTTTTATCGAGTTGTGTGTTTACAGATTATCGATCCGATTACAGATAGATATAAACAAATAAACTTCAGAAATCCAGATATTATCATCTGTGAGCGATAGTTCTTATCGAGTTGCATGTATAGGTTTTCAAGTCGATAAACATGGTTATTGTTTACAAATTGTTTATTTATCTTGCACCTTGTCTTATGCATAAGTACTACTTAAGAATAATTATCTAATATTAATATCAATATAATTTTGTTTTTTTACATATCGATGATCTTCAACTGATCAAACTTACATTATATGGCTTTACAAAGCACAAGCAGGTTATAATTTTCTATTCGTGTGCGTGTGTGTATTATAATTATATATTTGTATATAATAAACTCACACGCGAACAAGAGACACAAAAGCACCGACATATTGGTTTTTAATAATTGTGTTATTGATTGTTTAACATCAGTTTTTGTTCTGAGGATTTAGTGCGCGCGATTTTTAAAAAGCACCCCGGTACAGACTTGATTGATGTTACCGTAAAAACCAAAGTTCATACATACAGAGAAAGTAAGCAGAAAAAAGCAATGTACCCACACACACACACACACACACACACACACACACACACACACACACACACA